CCTCAAGCTTGCTTGTTAGCTTTTTTATTTATGTAGTACTCTTGAAATGGGATATGTTATCTGAAGTCCAGTTGGGACAAAACCGTGTTGGATATGATTTTTAAGTCATTTTGTTCATAGTTAAATTTTTTGTCTGATGTTTCTTGCGAGATCTCGGTCTCTTACAGAAGACTATTTCTTCCTTTCCTCGCAACTGCTGCTGAATCTGGTACGTCTTTCTTCTCATTCATATCAATTTGTCTCGTTGCAAACATATATATTAGAGTAAAAAGCTGCAGATTAGGATAACAAATACTGCATTGCTCTGGAGGATTAAGGCAAGAATTATGTTCTTGTATGTGTATATGTAGTAATCCGTCTTCAAAACTACTCTTTTGTGTTTCACATTTTGGTTTCTTGTGATCTATGAAACTCTGTTGGARTTGAATAAGATGATTTCTTCTAGTTCTTTGGATCAGGTTCGGTCAGAATTATGTTTCCTTCTTCAAGCTACAATTATGTTAAAAGAAGCTTTGCTCTGTGTGACACATGAACAAGGCAAGTGAACTTGGTCTCTCTTTTAACCACATTTACAACATAATATTAGATATTCCAACAATTTAATTTATAATTATAATGCAGGGTTATAAATCTGGTAGAGTAATGGGTTTGTTTCTGATAAGTTCGAATCTTGAAGTAGATTATACAATCTGACTTTTATTATTCTAACCTTTTTTTTTTTTGGTATGGCTTTTTAACTTTGGAAGAAGTCTCACGTAAACTTCTTGTCTTTTATCATCCAGCTTCGATGCACGTGAAATCTAGTGTCGTGTTATTATCTCACTGAAAAAACATAAAAATGTTTATGCAATGTTACGTTTTTAATGGAGAGGATAACAGTATCTCAATTTCATGGTTATAATTTGTTTTTATTAAATGTGTGTGTGTCTATTTGGTGGGAAATTACTAAAAATGTTTGAGTGCAAGGTGGGTTGGTGACACGTGTCAAAAGCACGAGTCAAGAAGTGGGGTTGATGACCTAACTCATTGAACTTCCGACAGGTTCTAATAAATCCAAAGTTATGAATAAATTCATAATTTATTTTTTAAAGAAAAAAACGGACAATAATGTGTTTTAACTTTAACGACGATATTCTTTCGATTTCATTTTAGACAACGACTTGAATCTAATTCCCAAAGTTCAATTTTCTGATATCACGACAAATTAACTAATCTT